TGGAGGCTTGGGGAAGAGTCCTGGCTCCTCCACTCTCCTCTAGCTCCCCGACTGCATACAGGGGCGCCAGCCTCCCCAGGACCCAGCCCATGTAAAGAGCATCTAATTTATTTTCTGCTCATCTTTGCACCTGCAAAAAAATAAAAATAAAATAAATAAAATTAAAATTTTAAATTTTTTTTGTTTTTGTTTTTGTTTTTGCTTTTCGAGCCTGGTTTCTCTGTCTCCCGAATGCTGAGATTAAAGGTGTGCATCACCACCACCTACCTGGCTCTGCACCTACAATTCTATTCTGACTTCTCTCAGCCTGCCCACTGGGCCTCCCTCCCCTCCACTGGCCTTGCAAAGGTGGGCTCGCTTTGTCCACAGCTCATGGTGTCCAGGTGCGTGGTGGTGAGAGCCTGTGAGAGAAGGGCAGTGTCTCCCAATCCTGCCTGGGTACAAGAATTGCCTGACGGCTAGTGAAAGATGCTCCTCCATGGGACTGAGAGAGTTAGCTCAGTGGCTAAGAGTGCTTGTTGTTGCAAAGGACCTGGATTCCCTCATTGGACACCAGGCACGAATGTGGTACCCAGACATACATGCAGGCAAAATATTCATACACCTAAAAATAAATAAATAAATAAATAAATAAATAATAGATAGATAGATAGATAGATAGATAGATAGATAAATAGATAGATAGATAGATGCCACTACCACACTCGCCTTTGGGTAGGAGCTCACATGTGTAATCACTATACTTGGACACTTTGATGCTGAGGTAGATGGATGGTACTGAGTTTCAAGTCCAGCCTGGGTTACAGAGTGATTTCAAGTAGCCCTGGAGCTACAAAGTGAGACCTTGCCTCAAAACAAACAAACAAACAAACAAACAAAAAGACCAAACATGGAAAAAAACAAACAACAAAGCTAAAAACAAGGGAAGGGGGAAAAAGTTTCTCTTGATTGGCATCAGATATCTCCAGGGAAGGGGTCATTGTCTTGCCAGGCCCTGGCCTTGTTTGCAAGGAAATGTGCTCTGAGTTCTGCAGTCTCCGTGGGAACCTGGCAGGAGAGGTTTGGAAGCAAGGAGAGGGAGATCAAGGAGAGGAGGAAGGACAAGAGGCCAAGAGCCAAAAAGGAAGGGAGAGCCTGGTGTACTGGAGCAGGAATGCAGAAAGCTAAGAGAAGAAAGGCCCAAACCGAGGCTGGAGAGAGCAGCCAGGACCACATCTGTTCACTGGCTGATTTACAATTCAGCCTGAAAAATCGACAAGAGTGGCTTGGAAGCAAGGAACCGACCGAGCCTCCTTCAAAGGTGAGCCTGGGGTCGCCTTCTCTTTGGGACAACTTGGCTTCTGGAATGTCACACTGTTCCCTCATCCAATCCCCCAACCCATAACCCAGCAAAAAGCCACTCATACATGCAGATCCAGCAGGGGCTTTGTGTGAAGGGGGGAGAGCGATGGGCATTCAGGGCAGGCAGGGGACCATGCCTGCGGGAAGTCGGTACAGGCATCCAGGGCAGAGCTAGAACATTTCCATATTAGACAAGTAACTTCGGCAAATATTGTTTTTGTTATTGAGACGAGGCTATAAATGTTCGAGTATGTGGTAGGCATACCACACGTCCCTCTGTGAGCTCCCTCGAGTGTGGGCCGGACCCAGTGACTTGCTTTCTAATGAATAAAACATGGCAGAAAGGAGAGATGTCCTTTTTAAGATTAGGCCCCGGGAAAACCAGGTCTCTCATCTTGCTCTTACTCATTCAACACAGCCTTCTTGATTTGCGGCAGACGAAACCAGCTGCGGTGTGAGGGACGTCCCACAGAGAGGCCAGTGTGCCAAAGACCTGAGGTGGTGAGCAGACGGAGGCTTTCAAGCCAACGGCCCACAAGGAGCCGGATCTTGCCAACAACCATGTGTGAGATCTTGGAGGTGGAGCCTTCCCTGGCAGAGCCAAGGGGTACTCTGCCTGCAGCTTTGCAGATGCCGCACTTGCATCCGTCACCTGTAGGAACCGAGATAACAGAAGCTTTTGTTTAGGACGCTGACCTTTGGGCTACTTAGTTACATAGTAACGGGCAATATTGCAAGTGTGATTTGGAAAAGGCCAGCCATTCCTGTTCCATTCTCCCATATACTCACTCTTTCTTTCTTTCTTTCTTTCTTTCTTTCTTTCTTTCTTTCTTTCT